GCTAAGCCCTGCCCTGGCCAGCCTTCCTCAGGATACAGTTATATGGGTGCCACCAGCACGCCCTGCAGAAACACAGAACTCCACATTGCAGACCTGTGAACAATGTCACAATGGTTGTTTTAGGTCAGTAAGTCTTGGGGTGTGCACACATAGTAATAAAAAAGGAAATGCTAAGCTTTTTTTTCTCCTCTGTGTCCTTCCCTCCCTCTTTTCCTCCTTCACTCCCTTTCCTATTTATTTATTAATTTATTTTTGGTGGTGTCAGGGATTAAATGTAGGGCCTTTGTACTGAGTTACGTTCCTATTTATTTTTTATTCTGAGATAGGATCTTGCTAATTCACTCAATTGCTCAGGCTGGGCTCAAAAATCTTTCTGCCTCAGCCTCCCAAAGTCTGGGGGATTTGTGCTACCAACCTTGTCTAGCACTAAGCTTTCCTGAAAGTTACTGAGCTCCTACTTTAAGTTTTGAGTGGGGCTTTCTTACAATTTGTTTGCTACATTATTTTTTGTTCTAAGTTTTTAACCAATTGGAGTTGCCATATGTATGTGGTTGAGTGAGTTGTGAAAAACTTGTTAAATTATAGCATCTATATTTCCGTGCATTTGGTCCTTGTAGGTGGAGGTTTGAGCAAGGGGAGGGTTGGAGCTGCTCCGCCCCCTGGGTAGGGACTAACTGGTGCACCATCAGAAAAAGATCTGCATTCACCTGCTTGTTCAGTGATCTAAGGCACAGGGTGCTACGCTCTGAGCCAGAGAAGCTGGTCTCTAGGGAACATTCTTCTCCTTACCATTCACATCACAACTAGAAAGCGAAATGTTCCAATACTCTGTGCAAATAAATGGACCAACGTGACATGGGATACACATTGTCGAGCTTTGTAATCTTACCCTTCATTAAATATTCAACATAATTATCTGATCGCTTCCTTTCCTCAGCTTCCCTCTCTTCCACACACTTTTCCTTCCTTCCTCTCACACACCTTTCTCGCCTGACATTTTACCCACCTTCTGGGAAGCACTGAGCTGACAAAAAGTCACTTTTCTGTCATGGGTGCAGCCAACGGGATTTCTAGGCATGCGCTCAGAGAAAGAAGGCATCACTGGCTGTTTGTCTTGAGTCAGTGCTCTCTATGGGAAACGCAATTCCAGGCTGCTGGGGTGGAAGCAACCATGGCTTTGAGATGTGTGCCCTGCTGTGTGATTGTTCCAGGCTGTGCCATGACAGCAAGTAACACATGTGATGGTAGGAGAAATGATGAAGCGCTGGCCCGAATCTGTGCCAGGAAGGCCTGGGGCACCTGAACGGGTGCCCTGTGAACAGGCAGGCCTCTCCTCACAGCACGACCAACCAGAGCCTCAGGGAAACAGCTTGATCAGGTACCTCCCGCAACGTCCAAGGAGATGGTTACTCAGGCCGGCCCATTTGAGCTGGTGAATTTTCACAAAACTGAAGAATGGAAAACCTCTTGAATTATGACCACATTCAAAATATGTGCCTGGGATAACTATGGCAGGGGCTGCAAAATAGAAGTAGTGGTAATAATATTTTTATATTATTATAAAGCATTTTTGATTGAGAAAATATGTTAAGCATGATATCTATGTTATCTCATTTTGTTTATTTTATTGTATATAAGTAAGGTACACAACACAATGTTTTGAAATATGTTCATCATCTCACAGTTACCTGTTGTTTTTAAAGGGGCAAGAGCACCTAAAATCTATTCTTTTGGCAGAATCCCCAGGATGAAGCTGTGTTATTAATTTAGTCCTCATGTGGTATATTAGATCTTTAGACTTCTTTATCCTATGTGTCTGTGCCTTGCAATATTCTTCATAATAACCAGGATATGGGACAACAAAAGTGTCCACTGACCAATGGATGGATAAAGAAACAGTAAGGTGTATATACAGTAGAATATTATTCAGACTTAAGAAAGGAGATTCAGCCAGGTATAGGAGTACATGCCTATAACCCCACTTACCTGAGAAGCTAAAACAGGAGGATCCAGGCCAGCCTGGGAAATTTAGTGAGACTCAATCTTGGAATGAAAAATATTGAAGATACAGTTCAGTGGAAGAGTATCCCAGATTGGATCTCCTGTACTGGACAGAAAAATGTTGTCCACTTACCACTACATGGGTAGACCCAAAGGAAAGCATGCTAAGAAAGGAAAAAAGTTCTGCATGGTCCCACATATATATGTGGAATCTACAAAAAATGTTGAATACACAGAGGTAGAGAACAGAACAATGCTGCCAGAGGAAGAATGGGGAGGTTGGGAGGAAATGTGGAGAACTGGGGCAGAGAATATTTTGTTTAAGCATTCATAATATATACTTTTGATTGAGCAACTATGACATACTAAGTGTTCCTTCTACATGATCTGGTGCAATTATTGTAGCAACTCTATTCAATAGCTGATATCTATTTTTGCAGATGAGGGATCCAAAGTGAGGGTTTAAATGATTTTCCTAAGCTGATGGGCAGCCAAGCTGAGATTCAAAGTAAATCCACTGAGGCACAAGCTCACATTTCTTCCTGTCACCCCACTCTGCCCATCAGGGAATTAACATCACTGCTAAGATGAGGTGCACAGGTGAGGCAGGTACGCAGTCACCCTCTTCTACACCAGCTGCACAGGGCTACAGAGCAGATCCTTTGCACTGCTCTGCCACTGCTTTTTAATTCTGAGATATACTGCAATCAAGTAAGGTTTGAGATTTGAACATTTTTAGTGTTATTTAAAATACTTTGTAGAATTTTAAGATGATTTAATATTCTTCTTATAGCTGAGGCCATGACTAAACTAGACAGAGACAGCCACCATGCTATATGAATTTCTTTCATCATGCAGAAATGACAAGTGTTTTTGTAGGAAGATAGCATACTATTTCCTTGACCACTTCTGTAGGAGCTCCAGGAAGGGATGGCTTTGGGGCAGGGTTGGCACAGCAGACAATGAGAGTCAGCTAGTTGGATCCTGACAGCTACAAAATGTCCTATCCAGCCATATTCCTCACATGCTTTGCAAGTTGATGTCAGTGTAATTTCCTTTCCATGTTCTTCACAGATCTGGCCATTGGGAAGAATCCAGCAGGGAAGCAGGAGCAGAGAGAAGGAAGGTGAATACAGAGGAAGATTATTTTATTCACTTTGTCGTAGAGTGGTTAGATCATGCATGACACTCTGGATAAAAAAGAAGCTATAATGTTTGTTTATGCTCAATCCATGTAGAATAATCATAATCATAAGACTACCAGCATGATCCCCTGAGAAAGGCTGGGCTGTCAAAGTCCCTGTATATCTGTGAAAAAAAATTTCTTCATCATCTGTCCACCTTGGTGCTTTGATATTGTGCTCAAGTGAAACCAGGGCAATGGATTGGATTGGGACATTTTAGAAGCCCTTGATACTGGTGATTTTTTTTGTATCCTTGGCAGCCACAGGGGAATATTGGGTTTAAAGTCAGAGTATCTAAACTTAAAGTCTCATAACCCCTCCAAGTTATCTTTTCTTCATCTCTGAACTGATTACTACCAAAGATGAAAGCTACTCCCAAGGAAATGACAAATATTAAATAAACTAATATCTGGAAATGCTTCATCAGCTTGAAATCTTTCTGCAAAAGTGAGGCTTAAATGCTTTCACATATGAGGGGCGTGTCCCAACAGCATCTAGCAGAATGTTACACACAATGGATGCCCTCATTATGAATGCATTTATAACGTTATTTTATAGCTATGCACATAAAAGACATGGATATTGTTTTAGGGCAGGGTATATTTTTAAATCTTTTTCTTTATACCTGATAAAACCACGAACAATTTTTCTTCCAAAAAATGAGATAAAATAAATCCCAGAACATAGCATAAAATAAATAAATGAGAAAAATAAAAAAGAAACTGTAATAATTCACTCACCCATCATTCATGCCATGACACTTTTATATATAATATCTGGAGTTTCCTGCTTCCTCTGACACCCATGACAGCTTAAGAAAGTGTGAACGACAAGCTTCAGCTCTCCAGCTGCATCCTGAGGAAAAATAGACTCTGTAGAGAAAGGAATGCAATAATAATGTTTAGCATCTGCCTGAGAAAATTCTTAGGGAAAATATCCCTGGAATACTAATGTACTCACACAACAGTCTTGACAAAAAAGATAGTCTAAGTCTGACTGCAATTGTTCTGGATTAAAATGCACTTAGGCTAAAGAATGAGTCTGCCCCATATAATGTGGCCACCCTTGAGTTCACTGACGCTTTTGTGAGAAAAGTCATGGTCAGGATACCTGAATCCTCCAGGCACCACAAAGAGTTGCTATCAGGTGACTGCTCGGAGGTCCCCTTACCTCATCCAGAATGCTTGGATGCCTGCTTCACAGCCCGGTTTATCAGGGTATCTGCAGGCCCTGCCAGGGCCCCTGGCTCTATCTACCTGAGTCCTTCTCACTGGACTGGATTTTACTCTGAGGAACACATGGTTTTTGGGTGAGAAGTGTCTGTGCTAAGCAGGATTTCATTTTGGACCCAGAGAATTCAGCACCAGGGCCAGCTCAGCCAGGCTGGAAATGTAGTAATTCACAGGAGGAGCAAGTCAGAACTGAAAGGACCACGCCCAGATATGGAAAATGAAAAGGAAAGGTGATAACTCAGCAGGTAAAGCATCATCACACTCCCCCACCCAGCCGAATCCTTCCATAGAAGAGCACAGAACATATTTCCACCAAATGGTTAGCAAGGCCAGCCGGGCCCTTTGCTTTTGAGCTCGCAGCGTCTTCAGACAGTGTATGTACCGTTCTGGTTATTGGATGTGAGTTCCCCCCGGGAGAGACACCAGCAGCCTGCCTGACCCAGACGGCGCCCGCTGCTGTTCCAGCGAGTCTCCTGAAAGGCAGATGGCAAAGGCCCTGCACGTCCGCTCCTCTCCCCTCAGCTAGATCAAGTGGCGGCAGTGAAGGCAGCTGGAAGGCGCCCACGGAGAGAAACCGAGCACCATGTTCAGAAAGATCCACTCCATCTTTAGCTCCAGCCCGCAGAGGAAGGCAGCAGCCGAGAACCCTTACTATACCGGAGCGGGCTCAGGGGTGAAGCTGATCCGTAGCAGCTCCATGTATGTGGTGGGGGACCACGGCGAGAAATTCAGCGAGTCATTAAAGAAGTACAAAAGCACGAGCAGCATGGACACCAGCCTGTACTACCTGCAGCAGGAGGAGGATCGCGCGTGGATGTATTCACGCACCCAGGACTGCCTGCAGTATCTCCAGGAACTGCTGGCCCTGCGGAGAAAATACCTCAGCAGCCTGGGCGATCTGAAGCCACAACGTGCCTCGCAGGGCATCTCCTCGACCTTCTCCAAATATTCCAAGGGAGGGAAAAAGCCCTGTGGCCAGTCCATCCCCAAAGAAATAAAGGTAAGTGCAGCCGAGTACCACAGTTCAGATGAGGGCTCTTCGCAGAGCTGTGGACACCCCGTTTGAAACCTTCTTGCCCTCTGGGCACTTAATGAATCTGACATGTTTCCAGCAAGCAAGCCAGTAGTCACATACTTTTCACAGCTGTCTTCAGTGGGCTAAGCGGAGTCCATGCTTATTTTTTAATGCTAAAGGACATAGGAAAAGCGCTTAAGGATGTTCACCTCGGAGCCTGGTGGGAAAGGCATGGGCTTTGGCGGTAGGGACTGCTGAGTTAGCATCATTTTACTGTCTGACTTTATAGATGAGATGATGCTTGTATGGCGTTTGGGTGGTGGCAGCTAATTTCTCAACACGTTGTTGTTGTTTCTTTGAATTTTATTATTACTGCATCTAAAAATCCCAGTGGGAAGGGAAATCTTTGAAGTCTGGAAGTATACCTCAGTGGTAGAGCATCTGTCTATGTGCAAGCCTCTGGGTTCAAACCCCAGAACAGAAAAAAAAAAAAAAAGGAAATAATCTTTGCATGTCATAGGTGATTGCAAATATTTCTGTGCTTACTTCCAGGCCAAACAACTGGAGGATTTGCTCCAGCAGTATCTTCAGCCCAGGTATTCCAGTAGCTTAGGTAAAAGTACAGAGTCTGGGGCATGCAGGAGATTGCCCAGATAGCCTTACTCGGTACTAGGACCGTCAACCAGACACAAGCATATAATTAGTAAAATCAATCACATATATTTATGTTATTGTTTATACTACTATAGTTTTATAAATATTCTTTTGAGCATTCAAAGATTGCCAGTGCAGAAGGTGGAGAGGAACTCGTGTGCCACAGAAAGGCAGACTGAGGCTCTATGAGTGACTCTGTCTCTATCTACTGGCTATTTGGTTCCAGTAGCTAGCCCCTAGCCCCATTCACTCAGTTGTTCTTTCCTTCATTTCCTCAGATTGATTCTATTTCTGAGACTGTTGTAAATCTCCTTTGTTGTATATTTCCATCCACCACTTTCCTGATGGCTGACCTGAAGGTTTTTAGAGCAGACCTGCTTCCTACTTTGCAGGCCCCAGTATCCTGCAGGCTATACATGTCCTATTAAAGTTGAATGACTGATTGGACCGCTATCAAATCTCAAGGACTTGGCTTAACCCACCTGGTTTCAACTGTCTGCATTTAATACCAGTTGGGAGCAGTTTAAATAATTATTCCCACTGTAAAAGTATGTCAGTGCTGGGGCCTCAGGGAAGGCTTCTAGTCTTGGGTCCCAGGGCTGACCCTGCCTATTCCTTAGTTTCAGACTTCTGACCTCCAGAACTGTGTTGCTTTAAGCCACCCAGTATGTGGAGTTTTATTATAGAATCCCTAGGAAATGTGTACTTCCTTTGTAGAATTAGCCTCTTTTCTCTTCTCTGGCCTTAGTCTAAAGGCATCTACACCATCACATACTACTGACATTTGTTGAAATATGTTAGGGAGATGTGGGACAGTGTTGCAGTGATCCTGGTTAACTTTAAGTAGAAACAGTATTCTTTTCATTTTTCTATTCCTAGGCATAACAATGGACTCCACTGTTCACATGCAGATGCTCAGTAAATTTCAAAGATCTGATGTCTTGGTGCGATAGATGGGGAACAGCAGGCCTTCTTGTAGAATAAGCTATGTTCTCTGAAAATCCAGGGCACTGTGGGAGCCCCTCCTTCCCTCTTTCCAAATGTAGCCCCTTGCCAGGCCACAGAGCCTATGTTTTTCTCCTCTTTCAGAGGCATAATAATGGCTTTTAAACTATTTTGATTAAGATCCATAGGAGTAAGAAATATATTTTAGAAAATGATCCAGTTTACCCCACCATATAATCAAAAGTTTTATTTCTGCTCCTTGTTTGATACTCTGTTTTCCAAAGCATTCCATGCTGTTTTGTTTCATTCTTAAGTGCTGGGCGTGACACACTCATTTAATTTCACAAGCTTCTACTGGATCAAGACTTGTAGTTTCTCATGCTTTGGAATAAGGCATTTTAACAGACAATATTGAAACCCTAATGGTGTCTAAGTCATGATACATGGTGGGGGTCCCAGCCAGGCCTTGTGATAATCTGCTCTTCCCTCAGAATGGGATCTAATTATAAAATGAATAAAAAACATTTTTAAAACAACAAAAACTCATATCTGAGGATTTTTATGTCAATATTGGTATGAGCTACACTTTGGGACTTGTTATAGTTTAGATCTAAAACATCTCTTGTTCCACAGTGGGCCCAGAGGATGTAGGTCACTGGTACATGACCTGCTCAGGTATATTTTTGTCACTGGCTTCTCTCCTCTCTATCTGCTTTCTGGCTCCTGTGAGGTGAGCAGCTTTACTCTGCTATGCCCGTTTGCCATGGTATTTCTGCTTAGAGACAGCCAACCATGAACTGAATCCTCCAAAGACAATGAGCCAATATAAACCTCCTTTAAACTGTGACTATCAGTATTATGTCTCAGCCATGAGGAAATGAATATTACAAGAATAATTGGATGTCAAATGTTAGAATTTCCAATACAGGGCATAATATATATGTGGTAGAAGGCAGCATATTTGAATTGGATCCTGTCCTGAAATGCAGTCTCTGAATTAATAGGGCAAAATGCTCCTCTGCTCTAGGTACTGTGGTGTTTCTACCAGTGAAGAGGAATGGTCTCCCATTTCCCCTGCTTATGTAGCAGGCACAAGCAGGGACAATGTACAATTATCTTTGATTTTCAGTTGTCTCCTAAAGCTGACACACAGAGTATTAACCCCATTCTACCAATGAGAAAACTGGGACTCAGAGTCATAAGGTAATTTATGTAAGAACATGCATCTGAAAAAGATACAGCCAGGATGAAGCACAATTTGTATGATTCCATAATTTACCCTCTTGTCGATGTATGCACTGCATCTTTCCATTGGAACACATGTTTTGAGCTCACATAACGTACAAGAGGTCAGATGCATGATGCATCCCACAAACCTGGGCTAGAGGAGATCATCGGGATGGTGTCTGCCTCGCTTCTGCTCATGGACACTGGGCTGGGGTTGTCTTCCACATGGTGACCCAGGCTCACACAGTCCAGAGAATCCTAATGAAAAGGGAGTGATTGGAAGTCATGCTGTAAGCCTTCTCCTCTCTACAATCCATGTGTGAAGTCTCCCCCAGCACACCCCGCATGGCTACTGCTGATTCCCTTTCTGTCTGGCTCCCTGCAGCGCTGGACTACTGAGCTCCTACTTCCTGCTTTTGCACTTCTCAAACCGACCTAAGAAAAGAGGTTGGCAATCAGTGCAGGCACAGCTATGAGGGGTGCTTCATCTTTGGTAGACTCATGTCCTCAAGTCACACCAACAAAAGTACCTTCCAGCTCTTCCTGTAAAGTCTGAAACATGAACCAAACACCAGAATATTAAAGTAGCCACACTGAAAAGGAGAGAAATATCCAAAGAACACCAATACTTCTGAAAAGAGCATGTGACTCCTGTGGGCTAAGACAGCTGCTGTAGATGATCTCAGATTTGGCTCTGTCTTTTCTGTAAACTAAAATAAAACAAATAAGAGTTGAGTTTCTTTCACAATTCTGATGATGTAAGAATTAGACCTATTGCTTAGGGGAAGTGAAACTACCTTCTAGCTTTGAATTCCAAATCTTCTCATATGGTACTTGATGCAGGGCATTTGTGCTATGTGGTTGCTAATGTTTTTGATAATATTTTGATAACGATTCACTGATACATTATTAACTCATTCATCAGTGCATATTTACTGAGCACATGTCAGGTGGTGGTAAACAAGATGAAGTCCATTTCCTCTCGGGAGAATCAGTCTTGAGCAATAGAGAGGTAATAAACCAGTGCAGAGTTCCTAGTGGTGAGTCTCAGAGCCCCAGCTGTGACAGCCCAGGGCCTGGCCCTGAGTTGCATTTTGGTGAGTGTCAAAGGATGGCACCTGACTAAGCTGCTGCCAGTCCCTCTGAGCCCAGGCAAAGATTCAGGTGCCCAAGGTATGGACCACACACCTGCAAATCAGTCTGTCAATCTCTCCTAATGATATGGTTCACACTGAGACAAAAAAGGGGAACATAACTGTGGGCTGTGTTTCTTACTGCCGTCTCCCCTCCCCCACCCTAGTGTACTAAGAAGCCGTGTGTCCCTCTGTTACTTGTTCTGGGGTCACGTCTGGACAGGCCTGGCTTCAGCCCCGTTTTCTCCCTTCTTCTTGCTCATTTCTTCAAGCCTCAGCCCCTCTCCTGCTGTGAGGGGTTCTGGGGTATTTTACCCCTCTCTTTTTTCATGATTTCAGAGAGATCACTTTTCATAGCTTGGCTTTAAAAAAAAATAACAGCTGTAATACGCATAGCTAGAATTCACCCTTCAAAAGTCAGTGCCTTTTTATTTTTTTAATTTTGAGATGAATCTTATTAAGTTGTTCAGACTGAGCTCAGACTCATTATCCTCCTGCTCCAGCCCCCAAGTGTTGACTTCACGGGTGTGTCCCACCTCGCTGGGCAGCTCTGTGGCTTTGAGTGTTTTTAGGGTTGTGTAGCCCTCACTGCTCTCTGATTACAGGATATACATTTCCACTTCTTCCTTTCTTTTTAGTGTGATAAAATGAATGCACCCTTCCCATTTTCAACATGGAATTTCACAGAAGTTCCTTTGAGTGCTTTTTAGTGTCCTCAGATTATGAGAATGCATTACAATTAAAGAATTCTTAAGAAATTAAGTGCTTTTCTTTGAATAATTTTGCATTAATTTTTTTTATTTAAAGAGAAAAAAAACAAAACAGTAAAAGGGTACAAGTAATACAGAATTTCAAGAAAAAAATATACAGTAAGAAATCACTAGTTAATAGATTATATATTGTCATCTTAGAAATAGTTGTTCAAATTACAAAATTAAAGCATACAAAGTGGACATTCAAACAGTGAAACTGCAAACAGTTCTGTTCAATGATCCAACAAAAACTTAGTAATATGGTTTTCTGTCT